TGACGTCATAAATTAGCGGACATATTCACACTCATTTACATATCAAACAAATTGAAATATCACGGGAACAAACCACAAAATCAAGAAAATGAAAAATAAGTTACACTACAGCTTAAAGAGTTCTTTCATTCAAGAAAATAATCATATTCATGTCATATGCACTTTAACGATTTTCATGAGAAGGATGTGTCCACAACCACTCTCTATTAAGGCCGGTTCACTTGCAATTTTTGCTGCGATTCCAGGTGCTTCTTCTTCTGGGGCCAGTTGTTCAAAGCTGGGCTAGTTTAACCCTAGGTTAACTTAAAATTCAAAGCTAACCTCCCAACAGCTTGTTTATAAATTTGGAAATATTTCTTCGGAGATCTTGTCTGAATCAGTAGGTTTTTTCTCTGAAATTTTGAAATAAACAGACGTGCAGCTGATTAAATTGTAATCGAGGGTTAGCGTTAACCCGGCTTTGAACAACCGGCTCTAGATGGATGTAAACAAGTGAATGAGATAGGAATGTTCAGATGAGGACATGATACTCAGAACATTCATATCCTATCTCCTCGTTCACATCCATCAGCAGCAGAAAATCGCACTAGTGTAAACGGGCCTTTAGCCCAACATAACTTATCTTGAGTCAATTACTGTTTTTAAAAGTTTCGTTTCAATTCTTTCATAAATCTTGGTTAATTTTTCTCATGAAAGCTTGTCGCGTGATGACCTTGTAGTAGTATAAGGTTATAGGTTGTATTAGTATTACGAATTGCATTAGTGTTAGGTTTGTTAGGTTAGGATTGATTGAAGTTACGATTTGGATTCGCATAATGTTAGGATAGATTACGGCTTGGATAGATTACGGTTAGGACAAGATTATGGTTAGGATAAGATTACGGTTAGGACAAGATTACAGTTAGGACAAGATTACAGTTAGGACAAGATTATGGTTAGGATAAGATTATGGTTAGGATAAGATTACGGTTTGGATAAGATTACGGTTAGGACAAGATTACGATTAAGATAAGATTACGGTTTGGATAAGATTACGGTTAGGACAAGATTACGGTTAGGACAAGATTACAGTTAGGACAAGATTACGGTTTGGATAAGATTAGTGTTAGGGTAAGGTGTAGGGCACCTTAGGATTGTAAATTCTCGCATTTTGTTGTAGAACTTCCACAACGGCGTGAACGAGCAAGAACATTGAGTAATGAAAAGTTACTTGAAGATGGCGAGACACCTCGATATCAACGACTTCTCTCTGATACTGCAGCCACAACTTTCACTGGCATGTTTAGGAAAGGTAAGAAGAAGGGG